CAAAGCAGACCACAAATGAATAAGCAAACAGCAAATAGAAGAATTGCAAATTGTGGGAAGGGCCATAAAGGAACACACACAAGGTGGAAAGACAGAGATAAAAAGACAGTAGTGGCCAGGGATGATGGTGGCATTAGAGAAGGGCATGGGTTTGAGGTATTTCTGAAGGTGTCTATTGATGGTTTGCAGCAAATGGGACTGAGAAGGCAACCACTGAGAGAAGGCACATGGTGAGAGCCCAGTGCGGTGTGGCCGAGAGAGGAGGCAATTGACAATTGCTGCACTGGTAGTTGTGAGAGATTAGTTGGCACAGGCCCCTCTGCCTGGCTGGAGGTTATATAACTCTTAATGGAAAACATTTCCACTCAATGGAAGAAAGAAAGCCGCCCACCATGAGCTCTCCTGGTTACTGGGACTGTGGCGCTTTGGGGGTCCAGATAGGAAAGAGTGGATCTCTACCTGACACTGGTTCTCTTTGAACACAAGAACTGTAGAAAAATATGCTACCACTGCAGGGCCTGGCCCAGGCAGGTGGGTAGATTTCTGAAGCCCTGGGCATCACTCTCCCTCCCCCCGCCGCCCTAAGGCCCTTTCATTTAGAAATGGATCCCCTGCTTGCTTCATCTCTTTCTTCTCTCTGCCTCTCTCCAAAGGGCAGCCACACAGTCATTCGTCCTTGATGCTCTCTCAAGGATGGAGAAACCCATTACTGACAAGTTACTGTCTGGGAATTCTTGGTGGTTTGGATTCCTACTGAGCCACCATTTCCGGTCATAGTCACTGGTTCACATCAGGGAGTCACCAGTGGGGTGGCCTTGCTTCCCTGGTACAGATGTGCACCCCAGGAAAAGCAGAGGATTTTCACCAACTAGAGAAGCAGCTGGTTCCGGCTGCTACTGTTCAGCCAGCGCCGGTCAATCAAACGGCAACACTGAAGAGTGGGAGGAGCTCAGGGATGATGCATTGGTAGTTGTAAGGGATTCGTTGTAAGGGATTAAACTGGCCGATGGTGAGAGACGAGTTAGGTCATCACTAATATCCGCAAATGTTCAAAAGAACCAGAAAACACTTGATTGATGTGTGCGTGCACCTTTAATTTCGCCATCAGACTCCCCTCAATGGATTTTTAAATTCTGTTTATTGGGGAAACTAAATTCTCATATCAAAAGAGATTTTTTTCTATTGATTTTAGAAATTGGCTAATGGTGCTGACTGATGTCAGGCATTGCCTATTATTGAAAATTAGTTGAGCCTTATTGACACATTGAAACTTCCTCTGTGTTCCTTTCGAATTGTCCCTTTAGTTGCTCCTAAAATGCCAAAGTCCTTGGTCTGGGAGTCCAAACAGAGGAGAATGAGCCAAATATAGGGGAGAAACCACTTGGCGTGTGCTCATGGAAAGGCAGGGGGCTTGGCATTGCTGGGGAATGGAGTTTGTGGTAGGGGTGGTGGGTCAAGGTAGGTAGTGGGCAGAGCATGGGGACCCTGGAGGCCTGCGTAGGGGTTTAAAACTTTATTTTGTAGGTGATAGGAAGCCATTGGTAGGTTTTAAATCAGGGGTGACATGGATTTGTATATGTTTGTGTGTGTCTGTGTGTGTGCGTGCATGTGATTGCTCTAGGGCAGGGGTAGGGAACCTTTTTTCTGCCAGGGGCCATTTGGATATTTATAACACCACTAGAGGCCTGTTGCATGAAGAGATTCGTGCAATAGGTCTTCCCTTCCCCTGGCTGCCGGCACCGGTTTTCCTCTGGCACCCAGGACCCAGGCCTTCGCTCCGGCTGGAGCCTTCAGTCTTCACAGCTCCGGATGGGGCCTTCAGTCTTTGCGGCTCTGCATGGAGCCTTCAGTCTTTGCTCTGCCACTTCGCCCCTATGTATGCAAATTAACCGCCATCTTTGTTGGGTTAATTTGCATACTCTCCTGATTGGCTGGTGAGCGTAGCAGAGGGTCAGTTAATTTAGATGTTTGTCTATTATTTGGTAAGATTCTCAGGCCATACAACATTATCAACTTAAAAATTAGCCTGCTATATTTGGTCAAACATTTAATTAACTCACCCCTAATGCCTTGGCAGGGCCAGACCAAATGATTTCTTGGGGCTTATACAGCCCTCAGGCCAGACATTCCCCACCCCTGCTCTAGGGGATGGACTTTGAGGAGCCACAACTTTGAAAGATGTTGGCAGTCTGAACAAAGGCCATGGTGGTGCAAAGATCAAGAACGCAGTGGGTATGAGAATGATCTATATAGGAAGTGAAGTGAGCAGGACCAGGTAATTGATTGATTCTGCAAAGCCAAGAGGTGAACATCAAGGATGCGTCCCAGGGTTCTAGTACGAGTGAATGGGTAGGTTGTTGTGTTGCCAACTACAATACAGGATTCAGAATGCAGGCCAAGGAGCCAGCCTCATCAGGGGAATGGAGACTCCCCCTTCAGATATTTTAAGTTCGAGGTGCCTGTAGCCATCCAGGTAGCAAAGGGAAGTAGGCAGAGGAATATGAAACCTGAAGCTCCCAGATGGGGTATAGGGAAGTGTTGGCCAGATGCCAGAATGCCAAGATTCAAATCCCAATGTCATCACTGCAGCAGTCAGTTTTCATGAGGTGGCGCAGCGGTGACAAATGACCCCCAAATCCCAGTGGCTTACAACAACAGACTTTTATATCCTCACTGACATGTATGAAGGTCGTGGGTTCTGCAGCCCAGGCTATTGGTGGAATTCCTCTCAGCCACATTCAGAGGGAAAAGAGCAAGGGCAGAGACACAGGATGGCTCTAAAACTTCTGCCGGCGCTTCTGCTCGCTTCCTATTGGCCAAAGCAGGTCACAGGAACAAGCCTGGATTCAGTGAGGCAGAGAAGTACCTTCCTCCCCTCGGAGGTACAGCCTCTGGCAATGGCCAGGGGGCTGTATTCCCCTAGTGGAGAAGGAGGAAACTAATTGGGTCCCATCATATGCTCTACCACAGCCACTAATAAGCTATAAAACCTGGGGGTTTAGTCACCTTGGCTCTGCCCTAGTTATCTCGTCTGTAAGACAGGAATACCAGTGCCACCTCTTAGAACAGTGCCCAGCACGGAGTAAACACTGTATGGATGTAGGTAGATGGAAAGGAGGAGGGAAGGGGGGTTATATTTAAGGGGCACAGAATTTGTTTGGGAAGATGAAAAAGTTCGGGAGAGGAAAGTTGTTGTCCATGGTTGCACAACAATGTGAAAGTACTTAATGACACAGACCTGTACTTGAACAATGGTTGAAATTTTATGTTTTGTATATTTTACCGCAATAGAAAAATGTAGGTAGATGGGATCATCTGGGGAGAGCTTGAGGAGGGGGAAGGCAGTGGACAGAAGGAGAACCAGCAGGAGGTCAACAGCATTGAGAAAGGGGTCTACCTGGAGACATAGAAGGAATATTCTGGAAAGATGAGGGAAACTGAGAGAGGCCAATGTTCTCTGAAGCTACTGGATTGAAGCTAGGAGGGAGTGTTAGAGTCCTTGAAGGGGTCTATTTTGCTTAGTTTTGGACCTGGACCTTCTCTGTGGCACCTTGATTTTGGTGGGTCTGCTTTCCTCTGCCAGCTCCTGATGATGTCATTTCTGGTCACTGCCCATGGCCTCAAAGCCAATAACTGGCCAGGTCTCCTCTCCTGGATCCCTCCCTCCCTCCCCTCTCGAGCCAGTCCTATTATGTCCATCGTTGACATCTCAGTGAGACAAATATTTTTTTAACTAAAAAGACATAGAATTAGGGACATTTTTTTTCTTGTGTTATTTTTATTACTATTGATGTATATTGTTTTACCCTGAAAAACAAAACCTCCAAACTTTGATTTTAAAAATTAGGGATGGTTAGTTTATGGTCAAGTTTTCTTTATTAACAAAGGAGTTCATCTTTTGTATACAGAACTTTGACTATTCAATAAGCCAGAGGATAAGGAAGCTGAAAGCTAACGTTTTACAATGGGAAATAAGACAATGCAGTTTGTATGGGAAGAAAGATTTTTTTTTAGGCAACAATTACATTTGCACCCCTGCCCCCATTCTGAAGAACCTAAAGGGGGCTACCTTGTTCTAGATGACTGCTCCCCCTTTTTGTTGCTTTTACACATTGGTCCATCATCACAGGCGCACCAGAGGATTGCACACAGAGCTGTGATTCTTAGCTCCGCAAGGAAAAAGGTGTGGGTGCTTTGCTCTTTTATTGATTTTATTTTTCCAAGCGTTTTCTTACTAAGTGAATTGACCTCGCACAGTTACCTTGATGTAATCTTAAGAAAATAGATGAAGTATGATTTAGAAAGAAATTACGCATGCTCTAACCAGCCATCTCATTTGGCAATCATTTCCCACCACAGTCGTCCTTTTGGGAGGGGAGGTGGGGTTTTTTTTTACAAGTGAATGATTAAATATACATACAAGAGATCCAAACTCTTGCTGACCTCCCTCTGCGACAGCAGCTGGTATGGGAGATGGAGCGCTGGGGCAGGCAGGGGGTCCTTCTCCAAAGCTTCAGTTGTCCCAGGCTGTTCGGCCATCAGTCCTGGACTGTCACCCCAGAGGACATGGGCAGTCCACACCCATAAACTTAGCAGCTCCTCCCATAAAAGTAGCATTTGTGTGGAACACAGCGGAGGGGCTCAAATGCATCCCGTGGAGAAAGGGGGGTTGCTTTGTTGTCCCCATTTGCAGTTAATCTTGTGAAAGCACAGGACACTGCAGCTGGGGAACCTTGCTCTCCCGGGTTCAACATTTCCAGCCCCTTGCCCAGCAGCCCGAGAACACAGGGGACACTTTGCAGCCCTCAGTTCAATAATGCGAGCATCTGGATAGTTTTTCAATCCAGAAGTTGTGGATTTAAAAGGAATACCTGCTCCATTGCTCTGGACGCTGCTCAACAGCCCCAGCTGTATTTCTGAATTAATTTTGAAAAAGCAGGTGGTGTCCTGGGGTCCATTCTCATCCCCCCGCACCCCCCCCCCACCCCCCCGCCGCCACAAGTTAAGCCAGTGTGAACGGGCCTGTACAGGACCGCAGAGATGTATACCAGGAAGTTTTCCCCGCTGTCTTCTTCCAGCCAGTGCTAATACACTTGCCCACCTAACAGCCAACACATTCGGAGACAGGGATGGTTTCTGATTTGCAGCAGCTGAGTTTCTGTCCTCAACCCTCCTCACACTGATTTTCCCAGGGGTTTTGGGACAACTCAGGGCCTCCAAAGGCTCAGCTATAGAGCCCAGAAAGGAAAGGTGGTCTCGGGGTGTGTGTGTGTCTGTCTGTCTCAGTCATTTCCTTTCTTGGGAAGCATTAGCTTTCATGAGTCACCAGCTGGTCCCAAGGCTCCTCTCCCAGCAGGCCAGGCAGTGTTCAGACCTGGAGGAGGCCTGGCCGATGTGGGAGGAGGTGGTAGGGGAAGGTGTGGCAGCAGCCAAGGGACCCCGAGAAGCAGTGTCCCCGGAGTTGCTCCCCGGATTCACTCAGGTCTGACCTGGCCGCTGAATGAGTCACAAAAATTGTGGGAAGAAAAGGCCCTGGGAAAGGGGTAGCTAAGGCAGCAATGCTGGACAGAACTTTCTGGAAAACTTCAAGGCTCCCGGGAACACTAGGCAGCTTCATATCCAAGGGTCACTGCAAGATGTGGAAAGGCTGCCCTGGGGTAGGTGGAAGAAGGTGACAGTGGGATTGGGCTGGGGGAGCTGGGTAGGGGCTCTGTCCTCAGTCTTTTATTCTCCACGGAGAATCTCACTCTGAACTTGGAGACGCTGCAGAGTCCCCATCCTCGGGGTCCTGCCCATGAGGGGAGATGGGCTGCCCCCCCTTCACACGCTTCCACTTCATCCTTCGGTTCTGGAACCACACTTTGACCTGAGAGAGGAAGCAAAGGAGCCGGGTCAAGACAAGCACCTCCCCAGCTGATGCTCCCGCTGGCCAGGAGGCAGCTCCCGGGACCCCAGCTCTAAACACTGCTTGTCCCTCCTCACTCCTCCAGAGGCTCCAGGAACAGAGACCAAAGGGAGGACACTCCGATCTGCTCAGAGGCCCACCTTGTGTCTCCAGATTAAAAAAAAGTCCTAGGACAGTTTCTACAAGTCACTCGTCATTGGCTCCACCCCCTCTCCCATGCCCCACCCCTCCTATGCTACTACCCCCTCCCTCTAGCTTCTGTGACCCAAGGGCCTGGGAGCAAAGGTTGACCAGCCTCATCTTTAGGCACATTTGCAAAGCTTAGTAACTCTGCTTTGCACATTTTCTCATCGCAGCTTCATCAAGAGTGGGGTGATGACCTGTTTTACAGACGGAGACCCAGAAGGGGTGGGAGACATGTCCCAAGGGTCACAGGGCTAGGAAGTGGTAGAGGCAGGATTTGAATCTAAGTCTTCTGATTCTAAATCCAGGACTCTGGCAGAGCGCTATCAAATACTATTGTTATTATCATTATTATTATTAGTATACTTTACTCTACGTCAGAGCATGGGTGTGGGTGGAATGCTCTAAGGGAAAGCCCAAACAAAGGGCTAGGAAGTTCTTCTCAGTGTGTGCCCAGGAACCAGCCCCATACCGGAACCACCTGCAGAACTTATTAGCAATGCAGATCCCAGGCCCCCTCATTATTATTGCAAAGTCACTCTCTAGAGCTCCCAGATCCACATTCTTTAAACAAGCACCTAGTCCTAGGTGATTCCAATCGCACTCCAGGTTGAGAATAACCAGATCAGGGGCTCCAATGCTGGATGCACGTGAGCATCACCCTGGGGGACCTTTAAAAACTCTGGTGCCTGAACTCTGTTCCAGTCCCATAAAACCAGTCCCATCGGTGTTATTAAAATCTCCCCAGGTGATTCCCAGGTTCCAGCCACAGTTGAGGTCCATTGGCCTGGGCAGAGGGAGAAGATGTGGAGATTCAGGGAGGGGTGGTGGGAAGGGAGGGGGTGAGAGAGCCAAGGAGAGGAGGGCTGCCCAGAAGAGGAGCCACGTCCCCAGAGCTCCCACCTGCCTCTCGGAGAGATCCAGGTTCACGGCGATCTCGTATCTCCGGAGCCGCGTCAGGTAGTTGTGGTGAGCAAACTCGGCCTCCAGCTCCCGCAGCTGCTCCTTGGTGAAGGCCGTCCTCTCCTTGCGGGCCTTGCTGCCGCCCTCCGGTTTGCCTCGGTTCTCCTGGTTGTCTGGGGAGAGAGGGCCCCAAACAGGGAGACGTAAACCTCAAGGACTTCGGTTCCCTTTCTTTGGTCACAGCCGGGCAGCCTTTTCCTGTCTCTCTTATTCTGAAAGGATGCTGAGAAAGAACCCACGTTGTCCCTTTATCTTTCCTGCGAGTATCTTAACCCCCTGAGAAATGGGAACTTTTTTGGCTCCCAACTTTAGATGCCAGCTCCCTCACCCCCACGGTTTTCTTCCCAAAGCACAAGAAGCTGCCTTTGGCTGTTCAATGACCTCTGCCACCCAGCTCACCCCCAGCTTGGCATTAGTCGTGGGCAAGGTGCTCTAAAACAGGTTCTCCGTCCTCAGCAACATCAACTGTTAGAAATGCAGGTCCTGGGGCCTCACTCACCCCAGACCCACTGAATGAGAGGCTCTGGGAGTGGAGCCCAGAGATCCGTTTTAACAAGCCCTCCAGGTGATCCTGACTCACGGTCAAGTTTACAAACCACTGCCCTGGCCCTGAGATCTTGCTAAAAGGGTGTTCTGGTGGCAGTATCAGCAGGGAGCTGGTCAGACTTGCAGGATCTCAGACAGAGCTCACCCCCATGTACTGAATCAGAATCTACATTTTAGCAAGATCTTTAGGGGCGCTGTGTGCACCTGTCAGTCAAAAAGTGTTGCTTTAAGCTTCTTTTGCTCTTTGACACCTGGAGGAGTCTGGAAGGTTCATCTATGAAGGAGGCTCACTCAGCCATAACTGTTAACAGGGTGCAGGGACCAAGCACGGTACGTGCACCAGTCACTTCATCCTCACAATAACCCCCTAGATGAGTTCTGGTATTAGCCCTATTTTATAGACCAGGAAGCTGAGCACGGAGAAGTGAAGCCAGCTGACCCGAGTGCATCCAAGTACAATCAGCCAGTGAATGGCGGAGGCGGCCATCGGGCCCAGGCAGCTTGACTCATATTCTGTCCAAATGAAATGTATGTAGGAAGGTTTACAAACTGCCAAGTACTGAACGAATGAAGGGACTGTCTGCTGCTGCCTCCGAGCAGGGTAAGAGGGGCCCTCCCTTCGCGTTTAGCGGAGGCGGGTGGAGGGGCAGGAAGGAGAGCACACATCTGCACCGGGAGCCGACAATGGGGGCCGCGTGGCTGGTGCGGGGCGCGGGAACCACCCTTCCTGCAGGCTCCGAGGTTGGGAAGTCTCACTTCCTTGTCCTGGTTTTACAGACAGGCCGTGCCTCACAGTCGGTGCTTTGCTGAAAGCTGCACCCCAACCCCCTGCCCCTTCAAGGCCGCACCCCCACCCGGCTGTGCGTGTTGTGGGGAAGATCATCTGCTCTCAGAGGCTGAGTGTGAACTGACCGGCGGTGGAGGCCGCCCACTCCCCGGGCCAAGCGGCACCCCCCGCCCCCCGCAGAGGTGGGGACGTAGAGACCCGTCAACCCCGCTTGCTGGTTCCCTTCAGTCCCCTGTGTGTCAGGATCCTTGTCCTCCGCCCCCTCGTTACTCGGCGGGGAGCCGGGCGTGGCGGCCCCCGGGGCGCGGGGAGGCGCCGGGTAAAGAGATTTGGGCGCCGCCACCCTCACCCTGCGCCCTGGGGCAGGAAGACAAGTGGGCGCTGCCGGCGTCCCGAGAAGGCGGAGGAGGGGCCGCCCCAGGGTTCCCCGATGTCCCGATGCCCAAGCGCTGGGGATCCTGGCGCGGGATCCGGGTGGGCGGCCTGCGGGCGGGCGCTCTCCGCCCGGGATGTCCGTCTGGCGGCCCCTGGCTCGGGGCGGAGGAGGCCGGCCCAGACCCCTCCGGAAGCCGGAGCGTGGGCTGGAGGGGAAGGAGGTGCAGCCGCGGCCGGTCCCCCAGGAGCCCTCGGCCTTGGCCCGGGAGGGAGGGCGGGCGGGCACGCAGTGCAGGGACGGCCCCCGGGGCACATGCCCAGCCTCACTTCCACCTGCTCCGGTCCTGGGCTCCGTGATCTCCAGCCCTTCCCTTTACCACCGGGCGGTGCAAAACCCTGATTTCCTTGCTGGCGCCTCTGAGGGAGCCACTCAGCCTCTCTGGGCCTGAGTCACTTCATCCAGAAATCGGGGCAATAAAGCGCCCACCTGCCAGGGTTACTGGGAAGGTCGGACGAGCCAATGTGTGGGAGATGCTTTTAAAACTTTAAAGCACCGGGAAAATATGAGGTTTACTCCCAATTTTTCAACTCCACGAGATGCCACCTGAGGGGGATGATATCTGCTGGCATTTCTGCAAGGCTTCCACGACCTTCCACGCAGCCCTGCTTTAATCCTCCCCACACGTCACCCTCCGGAGGAGGCCCTGTCACCTGGATCTGTGATGATTTGACTAATTGCTCTCTCTCGCTCCCCAGGGATGGAACTGTCTTTTCTCGCGGGCTACTGTCCCAGGCACATAGGAGGCAGGTCTCAGTAGAGAGGAGGAAGCAGCCTCAGATGGCCCCAGACCCTGTCCAGTGTTCTGGGCAGCTTTTAGGTGGCAGGACGAAGATTCGAACCCAGATCCGCCTGACTGGTGCTGAGGCCACCAATCCTGGCATCAGGTTCTCTGTCTTTCCTTTCGCTGCACCATGGCAGCTCTGCTGGTCTCCCAGGGCTCCCAGGGGCCTCATCCCGGGTTGCTGCCCACACCCATTACCCCTCCTCCCAGGCCTGCTTATGTGTATACAGGTGCCCCACGGGATCTCAGAAAACAATCCCCTAACCCACCCGCACCGTCCTGTCCCTATCCTCCTGACATCAAGGGGAGGTAGGGAGAGGGCCCCTTTGAGTTGGTCTTAGCCTGGTTATGTGGGCAGCTGACCACTGCCAGCCAAGCCAAGCCACTCCCTACTCACTCTCCTCTCCCGTCTCTGTTACCCGACTTAGGGGCTGGGCCTCAGGATGGGAAAGAAGAGGAAATAGGACAAAGAAGCCTGAGAACGTAGTGTCTGAGCCCCCGTGTGAAGCTTGGGCACCCGCTACTAGAGAAGGTAGGGTACTGGCGCTGGGCGGACACTTGTCCCTCATCAGCTCCCTGAGGGGGAAGAACTTTCCTCTCTGGTAGGAATGACAAAAGGGCCAGAGGTATGGGAAACTAGCTATGAAAACTGAAGTGGAAATTATGGCTCTCTTTGTTCTCCAACATTTCAACAAGATAGAGAGAAGAGAGAGGAAAAAAAGAAAGACAAAGAAAAATGATGAGCACTTTCAGGCCATCTCTGGCCAGGGGCCGTTCATGCTGCCAGCGCACACGCACAGGCCGATTGCACATCACCCCCAAGACGGTTTGATCACGAGAGTGCACTGTTGTCGGAAAGCCATCCTCCCTCTCCTCCTCAGTTTCCCCATGTGTGGAAGTACAGAGTCCGGCTGGCTCTTCTTTCCCTTGGGGAGCTGGTGTCAGTGTCCTTGCTCAATACGACATCCTCTTCTCCTCTCCCTACTCCCTCTTCTGTTGAGACCCCCCTGGCCTTGGACTTGAACCCCTTCCAGTTTCAAATATTCTTATCTTGGCCTCTAGTTCCTTCCTTCAGTCAGATCTGGGTTCTTGCCCTACGTTCTGCCCCAGGTCCACTCCCGCACTCCTACCCCCAAACCCTACCCCAGACTTCCCAAGTTCCTCAGCCCCAAGATCTATTCCTCAGCCCAGGGCTATTTCTCCCTCCCCTCCCCCCGACATGTAAAGCTCATCACCCCAAGCTGAGTGTTGGCAGCGGTGTCTGC